GACTCCTGGACCTCTGAGCCTGCCTTTTTCTGTTTTGTTGCCTTAAATAGTTGATCCTCTCTTCTGAGTAATGGCATACAGTGGGTTGAGAAGACTGATCCAGAGGTTAGAAACACAATTCCCATAAAGAAATAAACACATCCATAAAGTGGATGTGTTTATTTTATAAGGTGGAGAACAAATAGCAACATGTCGGTCCAGTTTGTGTCTGTTAGAACACAGATTGATCACACAGCTAGTTTAAAATGAACACCAGGGGCTGTTAATTAAACAGCAAAGAAGAATATTTGACAAACAGCTAAAGAAGATTTTCTTTTCTTACCTTAAAGATTCTGTTGGTAGAGAAGTTGAGCTGGAAAGTTTTGTTGGAACGTTAGATCCCAATCCTGGAAAAAGAGGCAGGAACCAATTTTTAACTCCACAATCTCCACAAACAATTTAGGTTAATCTACCGGTACATATACAGAGATTTAAGAAGCCAAACTAAACTCGGAAAATGCAGTCAAAGCGAATGAGTATTTATGACCGTAACTTCCATGTTCATTGGAACCAATGGTGCACAGCAAAAACACCAACTCATGTAAACTGAGAACTTAAAACAGTTTGTTTTTCATTTGAGGATAATTTACACGCAAGTCAGAGTGTGTTAAAATGGGACATAATATCAGATAATATTAGCAGCCTTTTTTAGCCTGTTTTTGTCTTATTCTGTTTTCAAAATACTCACCTTTTAATCAGAAATACATTTGCATTTCTTTTAAGCTTGGTTCTCAGTCATTAACACTTTGTCAGTCTCTTTCTTAACCTTATCAATATTGCAATTCATTTATTGTTAAATTCAGTTCAATTCAATTTATTTTTATAATGCCAAATCACACCACATTTCATCCCAAGGCACTTTAGAGAGACAATTGATTGGTTAATTTCTTTTCTGTTCTTCATCAATTAATTGACTTTGTGGGATTTGACCGCAGACATTCACTTGCATTGTGTCATTAACTGTGCAGCAATCCCTTTGTATCAATAGACAGGAAAACTTCTCTTTTAATAGGAAGGAGACTCCTTCTAAACCAGACTCAGTGTATAACCCAAGGCTTCCATATTTTATTTGTAGGTGCAATAATTATGGCTTTAAAAAATAAAGAATACTGGTGACGTTTTGTTATATACAGTATATTGTTATTCCTGAATATTGCAATAACGAAATTTGTCGTGATTAACCCAGTTTTCCCTACTGTTCCCTTGTTGTTGTGACCACACAGTCCAACTCTCTTTTTTATTCCAAGTTAGTTTTTTGTAATTAGTCAATTTATCTTTACTTAAGAAAACAAAGAAAGATCATACATGCAATAATTTAATCATCAGCATTCTAGATGATAATTTTTTTCCAGCTTGTTATTTAGCTTTTGGCCTCAGTTTTTGGCCAAGGACAGCACTTTGGATAAAGGCCATAAAAAATCCTTACTATTAGTTACTGTTAGTAATTATAATCTCATCTGTGTTGCTCCTATCTTCTCCTTAACGTGATTTAGTGGCTGTTGTTAAATTTGACAGTTGTTACCGTCACCCGTCTCCCTCCATTCATTCTTCTGTATGCTGTGCACTGATATTAGTTGTACTGAAACAGAGCCTGAGCATGACGCTACAAACGCCATGCTTAACAGGGTTTCTAGTGTTTAGATTCCTCTGTTCTCACTGCTATAGTGTCCAATTGGGGTAATCTTTCTCATTTCACCTGAAAAAAATAAAAATTCCACAAAATATTTGACTTGCTACAATTTGCTGAATCCCTTTAC